ATTTTGTTCATATTAATTGATATTCCATACAGACTGTAATCAATTAGTAATACACGTAAAATTCTTATTTGTTTTAATTACGAATAACATTAGTATTGTTAAAATTCTAAGGGCATTTGGTTGTCTAAATTAATTTTGAATTTTTAGCCTTTTTTTTTTAACACACTACATGGATATTAGACTTGAACCTTGGACCTTGCTCGAGTCCTTTGCGATTTTTAGTCTTTTAAATCTTGCACCTCCCCTGAAAAATTCCTGGATCCGTCATTGGTCACGACGTCCCGTTTTGGCGAGCCATGTGGCCGTCCAATTGTGATGAGACTAAGAAAGAAAGTAAAGTATTTACTTGTAGGAGAAAAACTTCACCTATTTTCGTTTTATTGTCCTCTTTCTTATCCCTCTAGTTTTTCCAAAAAACAATGAAACGGAAATAAGGAAGTATTTGAAAAGAAACGGAAATAGGGAAGTATTTTTCTCGTGATTCTCGTTATTGTCTTTTCTTTTTATAGTTTTTTATTTCTATGTCCCACTAGCCGGCTATAAAGTGGAGTAACTGCAGCAGGCACTCACTCCATCTCCGCGGTCCGCCTGATTGAGGTGGATCAACGGCTGAGATCTTCCGCCGTAGAGTAGGTCAAACGGATCGCCGTTGGGTACGCAACTCGAGCAAGTGGGTGCATGCAGAAATCATATCCACGGAGGAGGCTCGAGTGCGGTGCGGGTCCAGGGTCCGTGCTCTCTCGGTGCAGGCAGCCAGTCCTCTCTCACTTCTCAAAAATTAGAATCCCAACTTTCACAGAAGCCCGCCCATTGACCCCTTGACTTACAAGGGCACAATTGTCAATTATGTATTACATTGACTCATTTGACATTTTGAGAAAAGAACAGGGAGATAATTGAGATTTCAATGTTATTGTATCACTCCTGGCCTTCCATTAACTCCGCCAACCCCTTTAAAAGAACCAGAAAAGCGGGAGACACTGATAAAGGCGTAGTCAGAGCGAGAGAGAGAGAGAGAGAGAGAGAGGGAAAGTAAGGGTGGTAAGTGAGTGAGAAAATTAACATTAACGTTAACATTTTGTTTCGAGAGAACGAAAGTTGAAGGTAAAGGAGAGAAATATTTCCCCCAAAAAAAATGACGACAGGCATGGTGCAAGACCAGAACCTGGAGAAGCACATAGAGAAACAGATGGGGTGTATGGCTGGCTTCCTCCAGATCTTCGATCGCCACCAGCTTCTAACCGGAAAACGCCTCTACTCCACCAAACGCCTCCCTTCCTCCGCGGTGAGTTTTCCATTTTGCTGTTTGGTTCCCAGGAAAATGTAGGAAAATGATGGAGTTCCAATCGTTCTAATACTTTCTGTTTGATTTGGTTTATAATTCATTGAAACTCTCAGGCCGTGGTCGCGTCACCAGAGCCAGAGTCAACCACCAGGTCTCCAGAGATATCCAAAGAATTAGAAAAACAACCGCTGAACAAAACGGCGCCGTCGCCAGACCGATCGAAGCAAACGCCTCCGTTGACGGAGCTCCGATCTCCGTCACCGGAAATTCGGATTCCGTCATCACCCGAAGCTAATCCCAAGTCTCCTCTTCCTCTTCCCGTTTTCGAATTCAAAGAAGGCACGAGGGCATCATGGAAGTTCTCGAGAGAAGCGCCGAGACTCTCACTCGATAGCAGAGCCACCGTCGACGCCAAGGGAAGCCTTTACCCGAGGGAGATCCGAACGAACGCGGCTATATTGTGCGCCAGTCGAAACTCAGCCGATGGAGGAGCCGAGAGCGACAAGCAGCACCGATCGCCGAGCGTCATTGCGAGGCTAATGGGACTCGAACCGTTGCAGCATTCGGATCCTGAACCGATCAAGCTCCGGAGATCTGCGTCCGAATCCAGAGTGAACCGAGATCTGAATCAGTATCGGTTCGTCGACGGCCATACTTTTCAACAGAAGCAACCGCAGCAACAGAATTTGCAGAGTAATAATATTTCCAGCAATGTAGGTAAAGAGGACCGGAGCTCCAATCGGGGCTCGAATGCGAGGCAGTTGGATCCGAAGGCGCTTAACAATGCGAAGGCTCAAAGCAAAGGAATGGGGCAGAGGAAGAGCTTCTTCGATTCAGCGGACTTCTTTCCGGAGCCGAAACAGAGCGTCTCTGTTTACAATGAGATTGAGAAGAGGTTGAGGATGAGAGGCATCGACGAGCCGTCGAAAGATTTGGAAACGTTGAAGCAAATCCTCGAAGCTCTGCAACTCAAAGGCCTCCTGCACTCTAGGAAAGCTGCGAATCAGATTAATTCCAGAAACTTCGTCTACGATCGGAGTTTTGGCTCCAACGAATCTCCGATTGTTGTGATGAGGCCGTCCAGGTCGCCGAGTTCGAGTCACCGCGCGGTGAGATTCGGAAACGAGTCGCCGCCGAGTTCGAGTTTCAGGTCGAGGCCTGGAGTTCGACGGAACGGTGAGGTCTCGCCGGCGGTGAGCCCGAGGCGTGACCGACCGGAGAATGTACGGGGCCAGAGCAGAGGAAGAAGCCCGAGCGCGCCAACTCGGAGAGAGAATGGCGTGAAAAGTCCGAGTCGGAGAGGACCGTTGGTGATCGAAACGCAGAGGAAGGGGAATGATTCGGTGGAGCACAGGAGGGTATCGCCGGTGAACTCTCCTAAGCTTAGTGCAAGAAAGGTGGGGTCAGTGTCAGATCAACCATCCACGAATCGGTCACCGAGGAACATCAAGAAACCAACGGCTGAGATGAGCCAGCCAGCGGAGGATGAATCATCCACCACCATGTCAGAGAGCAGCATTAGCACCTGTTCACAAGCCGACACCGAGGTGGGGAAAATACCTTAATTATCATAATTAACTTTGATTAAACCTGAAAATTTGGTTATTGAATTTAATTATTAATTATTAATGCCGTGGTTAAATTAACCTGCAGAGATGGAAGGTGGAGGAAAACAAAGACGGGAGGAGCTTATTGGAGAGGTGCGACAAGCTGCTTCACAGCATAGCGGAGCTGCAACCGAGCCCGGTCTCGGTTCTCGACGCGTCGTTTTACAAAGAGGAATCTTCACCTTCTCCAGTGATGAAACGCAGCATTGATTTCAAAGGTAAAATTATTGTTTTTTTTAATTTTTTTATTTAAGCGATATTGAGAGAATGGGAATTCTAACACATGAACTCAGTGCAAGAATAACTACTCCCTTAAGCTATAAATCCGTTGCGGTCAAACGAAATTTATTGATTCGTTTGTTAGCGTCCAGAGACTGCCATCATAACTGCCAACTTTCTTTGTTGAGCACAAAGCTCTGGGTCTCTGTGGTCTTCCAAATTGATATATTCCACAGAGAGATATTTGATTGCTAGATTTTAGGTGTTACAATAGTGACGTCCTTGTTCTCAAATATAGGCTCTGCTTTTAGCCTTCTAGGTTTTACCAGTACTCTGGTACACTCTGTTTTTTTCAGTAGAGAGGTAGGGCTCCTCTGCACTCTGCTCCCCAGTGAATATTTCTAGTTAATGTCATAACCACCAATCAATAAGCGCCACGAAGCAGGACCCCCCAAATTTGGTAACTTATAAAGTCACACGTGGAGGGATTTGATTGGTCTTACCATTTTAACGAGAAAATACGTGGGTACGGTCACGGGGTTGTATTGTAGTGTGGATCGTATTTTTTGTGCTATGTGATAGTGATGCTGTTTGTTTTGGAAACGACGGCGTATTTCGGTCAAATGGAATTGATGAAACCCCTAACTGTAACCGATGACAATGACCCATTTATTAGATAAATGAATTAAGCAAACAGCTGCAAATCCACCAACCTCTGCAAAAAAGTTTGCCCCTCTACTAAATTTGCTTTGCGCCCCCCTTGGTCGTACGTGTTTAGGCCATCAGAGTCCTTGTTTTGATATTACTATGAATGAATAGCAATGTGGTTGGTTGGTTGGTTGATTGTTTAATTTAATTTTGATTTCTAATTTAACTTTTGTTTTGATGAAACAGTTGAAATGGAAGACATTTGGGGGCAGGCAATGTGGGGGACCGAATCGGAATTGGAAGACTGCGATTTCGTCTACGTATCGGAGATCCTCCAAGCTGCCAATTACTTACCGGAAGAATCCGATATTTTCCTATTGCTAGAGAAGCAGCAACATCTCAAAGGAAAAGACACCTCCAGAGTTTCAACACTCGAGAGGAGGCTCATCTTCGACACCATCACTGAAATTCTAGACCAAAACCGGCAACTACCGCCGTGGAAGGCGGTTTCTAGCCAGGCTTCCTTGCCCGAAATTTGGTCCGAGTTTCGGAGAATCCGGAAGAGGGACGAATCAGAGGACTTGTTTGAGGTCATATGTGGGGTGCTGAAAAAGGACCTTGCTGGGGATGCATTCAACAGATGGGGAGACTGTTCGATCGAAATGTCCGATGCCGTTTTGGACATCGAGCGGTTGATTTTTAAGGACTTGATCGGCGAAACAATCCGAGATCTCGCTACTGTTCCCACCAACGCCAGTAAAGTATTGGCGCCTTGTAGGAAGTTGGTGTTCTAAACCCGAGGGAAACATAAAGTTTTAAATTTTCGCGCGCTTTTTTTTCAATTAAGATTAAAATATGATGTTTAGTTTTAATTTTTGTTTTAGATTAGAAATTTTGGGAAATATTTTTCTACGTTTTGATAAACCAGGCAAAGTAAATCTAACGATCCGCTTTCGCAATCTGTAAAAAAGGAAAAAAGAAAAAAAGAAGATGGGTGTCTGTTCTAAATTCTAATATTATTTGTGGATTACATTTGGATATGGTGTGAAAAGTGCATGGACAGAGCATGTGCACAAAGCGGTAAAAAAAGAAGTGAAAGTAGCCTGAAAAGGGGGCAATGTTTTCAGCGTTAAAGCAAAGATTGATTCCTGTGTTTTGTCTCCAAGTGATGAGTAAACATTCCATGGCTGCTGCTCATCATCATTCCACCCCCACCTTAGCCTAAATTTTTGGATCTCATGTTTCGAAATCCAATGATATTTTCTACAATAGTATTCTCTCACAAGTGAAATGCTAAGAGCACCCGTTGATGCGCACATGAGTTGCACGGATCATAAACATTTTACGTGTATTAACGATTGAGAGTTAATTCTTTATTTTCCCGTAACCGACTAACTCGAGCACGGTTTTTTCTCGTAATAAATATCAAGAGAAAGAAAATGTAAAAGTGGATGAGGGTGTTAGTTGAGGTGGCTCCGTCTCAAGATCAATTTGGTATGACAGAGAGAAGGAAGTGAGTTGAAGTGAAAAACCTTATTAAATTGGCAACTGCAAATTGTGTGAGATGCTCCCAGCAGACTATGCGGTGAGTAACAAGCAGCAACTAGCAATCCAGCTAAGCGCCTAGTTTTGCCTATGAGAGCCTATGAACCAATCAGCAAAGGCAATGTGTCTCCAACTCCAATTAATCTTTTCAAGAGCTACAGAAGATAGTCCTCTTATTAGATCGGCCTCATGATCCTCAAAATTTTATTTTTCTCATCACATGCATTTCCTCACGATTTTCATTATTATGATCACTGTTTTTATTCATGTACCAGTAACAAAGCCGATGCCCTATTCAATTTTGTGGTCCTTCAATCATACAAGTCATATGGTCTTTGTAGACTTTCAACTCTCTCTCTCTCCATCTCTCTCTCTCTCTCTCTCTCTCTCTCTCTTGTTTTGCTTTGCAAATTTTGGACCGGTTCAGTTTTTAATGTAGACATGTCACATTTGCCTATCCATAATGTAAGGTTATCTGTTTTCCCTCTCTCTTTCTTGCATGAGGAATAGTAAACTGCTGGGGTCACAGTTGTGCCCTTTATGATATATCACTTGAGCAAGAAAGAGTTCAAATTTTGTGGGGTTTGCTAATAGATAAGGGAACCTCAGCATGCTTGTCTGTTCAAAATTAGGTTTGCCCACTTAGTTTTTTATCACCAAGAGCGGATAGTTTCCAACGTTCCCCATATTTCCACCGTGAAAAAGGATGAATCACTAGATTAAGAGCTAATTGACGCCGCTTTTAAGACTTGTGAAACATGTCTATCTTCTCTCTTAAAGGTTTTGTATGTACATGTTATGAACTCCGTTTTGTTTCATAATTTCAGAACATGAATGTGTATCTACTGTTATATGTGATGGGTTGTCTCTGACCACACACATATATAATTAGTACAAAGAGTTTGATTGATGCATTAAAGCCACCTAACAAGGCATTTCCTTCATTCCATTGAATTCCCATGCTCCCTTTCTGAGTAGAAATCTTCCAAGAAAAAACGAAAAAAAAAACCAAAGGGTTACTCAAACAAGGGAAAGATGGGGTCTTTGTCATCTCAAAAGGGCACAAGCTTATCTATGAATGTGTAAGAGATGCAGACGGGTGCACTGGCACTAAGCACATGCCCATCTCTCATGGACTTTTCAATCATTTTTCTTCTTTTTTTCTTTGGGTTTTTTGGTTTTTGAATGGTGACTCAATCAAGTTATAGGTGACCACATTTGCCCAAAATTTAACTTAAATTTGTGTCCTAGTCTTGTCTTGGTAAGTTGTCATCATCATCCCCCCCAATCGTTGTCTCCTCCATAGGGTTCTTTGCCAGGATGAAAAATTTGACTAAGCAACGTGAGTTCATTATTGGCTCTCTCT